TCCAGAGAACGTCGGATTGTCAGTCTTAGGCGAGTTAAATGAACTTCATTTGGAAGTTGTCTCAAGGGTTTCCGCATCATTTGATGGTTTTGTCGCCGTCGAAGACACAAAAGCGATTGAGGAACTATTTAGGCTATTTCCTATCATGCAAAAACATGAGTTGGGTCTTGAAAAATATGGAAAGTATCTTGCAAAGAAGATCGGTGGGAAGGTGGAATCCCAGTTCTCTCTCATTTCTTCCACACAGCCGTCGGATAAGCCGAATGTACATGTCGCCTTAGTGACTTATCTGCTTGAGCTCGTTGCCCAGACTATCCAAGTTAATGAATCTGTGATTCATGATAGCTATGGTACGCTGAATGTCTTTCGCGTTTGCATCCATTCTATGTATTGTTTATTTCCTATTCTTCTCTAGGGGGAGACAGCCTGTTGAAGTTCGTTCGCTTCATCCAGAGCCAATGCGACCATCATGCTGAGCTCATTTTTATGGATTTTAAGGAGAAACACGAAGTAGCCATAGTTTTGCAGAGCGCTCGTCATGAGCTTTTGATTAACAACCGCTCTTCCACTTTTGTGTCCTCTGGTGTCGGCCAAAGTAGGCAGAGCCCTCTGTGGGATTATTGCTTGTCCATCGAACCATTGATTTGTGAATCAGTTTTATTCAACGCAAGAATCGAGCTCTATCTTAACTTCCTTCGGCGACGATTTTTGGTAAGTAGCAAGGAAAACATTCTCTGGTCGCAAGTGGATATTGTTACGAGGCTTCGGAGTTATTTTTTTCTGTCACATTTTCTTCGGGAGGCGAACGCGGAACACGGATAAGCTCTAGGCTCCGTTAGCTGAAATAGTTTCGTGTTTACTTTGACAAATAGCTGGAACACTTATCATCTTTCTGCGGCTCGTAGATGCGTTGGTGATGCATATCGTTAACCGCTCTTCTGTGCGTTCTAGACGGACACCTTGCAAAGTAATGAAAAGGAATTTCAAATTTGTGAGTAACCAATGCATTGAATCCACTTCCATGTACTCATTTGTTTATATCTCGCATGAATGACTTTAATTACATCACTCACCTGAACTGAACAACTAATAATCAGAATTTTATTAAGGGTATTATTTGTCTGTTAGACGTTTTCCATCAGACGTAGGAGACGTCAACTTTTTGGCTTGTACATCGCAAGCAGGTGTGAGAAGCCTTTCAAAGTGGAATGTT